ATTCTGCTTTTCGGCTTTTGCATTGTAGAGAGAAGGCAAAGGTCGGGAGACGGAGCGCCCTGAAAATGCACAACCTTGGACGACGACTGTGAGAGAATGTGCGGGGGAAATAAGTGGGAAAATGGGAGCTAACAAGAGAAGTCAAATGGATTTCTCTTTTTTAAAAGGACAATACTGAAGCAAGGTTATTATTATTTATGTCACTGAATGTGCTTTCACTGGTACTTTCTCCAAATGCTCGCCCTGTGAATGTATTATTGGGATGGGAGAATATTTCAGAAGCAACAGCTGCTTGCAGCAGACTCCAGTTTAAATTAAGCCACCTTTCCTTTTCATTTTCGGGGAATTCATTAAACCTGAAGCAGCGCTTTTGGGAAGAGGATAAAAAGGCATCATCAAAACACAGATGCCGCCTTGCTTTAACAAGTGTGAGCGCCAGAAATATCTGCAAAATTATACAACATTACTGAGAATAATGAACTGACATCTTTAAGAGGTCCATGATATGTGTCTGTTGAGGCCCCTCTACTTCAGTTGAGGGGTACTAGCATGTAAAGTCATTTTCATACAGAGGAATGTACTATTGCAGATCTATATTAATGTTTCTGCCTTAGCTGAAGAGGATGTGTAAAAAATCAGCTTTGAATAATGTGTTTATTGCAGATCTGCAGTTATCATCCCAGACATTGACAGCTTTATAAGCCTCAACGACAACAAGCGGCAACAAAAGCTACATTAGAACACATCTTCCCTCCTACTCAGTGTTGTCTAATGCTGTCTGCGGTTTGACGGATGGGCAATAATCTAATAAATATGCCAGACGGGACGTAAGTGCACTGTGAGGATAATTCATTTTTTTCTTCTGTCAAACTTACCAAATTGATTTTTCCGTGGAAAAAAATGTAGTAACACGGCCTGGATTATCTGTTCTGTTGGGTTGTACAGTTGTTTTATTTTTGGGGAGTTGGACACATACATGGGAGGAAAAGGCAGGACATCTTGACCTTTCCTCCATTGATTTTTATCGTTCTTTTTTTCAGCTATTCCTCCCAAGTCCTTCTAACAATTGGAGGGTAATACTAAGTACCTGGTATACACATTTAATATCCTTATATTGATTTCAGCAATAAAAATACAAATCTTTAGTCAGATGCATATGTAATTCACAGAGGTGGCTTGATGTTGAAAAGTTCGGGAGGCCCTTTTGAACCACAGAACAAAGCATGATTCGCAATATCAACAACTGCAGTTTCATGCATTTTGGGTATTAGACTGATGTCAATCCTTCCTATAATGCAGAGGTCCCCAACCCTTTTTGCCTCATGGACCGGTTTCAAGTTAGACAATATTTTACAAACCGATCTTGAGGAGTGCGCAGCCCGGAGTGGACAATTGTAAACGTGAAAACGCTTGGGTTGCTGCTATAATGGACATCATCACACCAGAAACACTATGGTTAATGTATTAAGTATCTTTCTCCTGTCATGATGTCAGCATAGATGTACACAGCCTTTTACCATTAGTTTTGTCATTAGAGGTCTGTATGAGACATGCACTAAACCTTTCATTTACATGGAGTGAAACATTATTAATGGAAATGGCCATAGTGTCCATCAATTTATTTCTATGTATACAATCAGAGTGGACAGAGGAAAGTGTATCTAATTTAGGCTCCATGTTATCACGGTCCTATACCAAGTTCCCAGAATCCTATGTTACCAGTCTTATGTTTACACTGTCCTATATTTAAACGATCTGTCACGGTGTGGTTCACTTCCTGTTGTATTTTGTAGTTTTCTGCCACTCGTGTCCCCGGGTAACTTCACTTCCTGCCTTGTCCCGTCATCCCCTGTGATCGTCTAATAGTTTCCACCTGTGTCCAATCACCTGCACCTCCCTTGTGTATTTAAGCAGTGTGTCTCTTGTGTCACTTGTCGCGTCATTGTCTATCGTCGTGGATGTTCATAGTTTCATGCCTGCTGTTTTCCCCCCCGGTTCCTGTGTGATTTTGCCTTTTGACTATTAAAGTCTTTTGTTTCCTGGGAAGTCTGCGCTTGAGTCCTGCCTCCTCCACCCACATCCCTGACACGATCATCCTATGTTTACAGGGTATTCTTTTCATGTCATGTGATTGCAGGGTTCAATTTTCCCAGGATCCTACACTCTAAAAAATGTCACCGTAAATTAACGGTATTTTACTGGCAGCAAGGATGCCAGGAATTTACCATTATTTTACTATAATTACGTAAATGGTTTTTACACTGTTATCGTAAAATGGATTACTGTATGTTACCGTAAACTAGAAGGAATTTTACTGTGAATTAAATGCAATTTACTGGCAGTCGACGCTAGTAACTTACTGTTTTATGTAATTTACGGTATGTTGTCGTATATTGGATTACAGTTTCTTACCATACAATTACTGTTTCTGTGTTATAAATACCAGAATGTTACCGTTTACTTATAACCGTATACTTTTGCATATAATTCCCCACAAATTAAAGAAAGACAACCAAACTCATTTCGGTCATAGTGGTTGGAGTTTATTAGATGCCTTTAAGATAAAAATGTTCGGAATTTGTAACCAAGATCAAAACATAAAATATGCCGCATGCATACAATAGTAAAAAAATTAATTATAAAATCATTAGGAACAGGGTAAACTAACTGCAACAATACGCTATGGAACACTTTCAATTGACCGCTGCAAACGGCTGGCGTCCTTAATCCAGTGCCTCTGTAAAACAAACCATAATTAAATATTTAGAAACACTGTCATTGGTAAAATATTAAAATTACAAAGTTGAGGAAGACAACAATATGTAAGGAAGGAGACTGTTAATCATGCTAGGCAAATAACACTTACCAACGTTACTTGGAGAGACGAGGCAATGAGAAACTCCTCCGATGTTGAACTGCACGGGTGTTCTGGATGAACTGAGATTACGGGTCTGACTTCACGTTCAGGAGCAGTCGGTCACGATTACCCCTCAAATGACTTTTAGGCAATGAACACTTTGAATAATACAAATATTTATAATCCTTACATTCCAGCCACTGAAATGACAGCGAAGGCGGCGCATGCGATAGGGAGGGTGTGCTGTGCAGCACAAGGTTGGCGGTTCGAATCCTGGCTGCTCCCTGTGCCAAGTTGAAGTGTCCCTGAGCAAGACACCTAACTTACTCCACATAAAATGATGTCAAATAAAAGTGACAGCTGCATGTATAGTAATGTCCTGTAAGTCAAAGCCATCATCGTATCTCATGAGATACTATCTCATTATGATGACTTACAGGACCTGTTTGTCAGTGGCTGATATGGGCTTCCATACATTAACCTACAAAAGATGTAGATGGATTGTGATTCACTGCATTTGTATGTGTATTTGTATGTGTGTATTTCCACCACTTCATAAAATATATGTAACATGCAGTTGAATTACGGTAGTCTGCTATTATTGTAAATTGACAGCTTTAACTGTCACATGTATTGTTACAAATTTCTATGTCAAATATTTCGTATACATTTTTACGAACAGGTTTTGGAGATTACGTTGGTTTGTTGGGTCATATCATTGCAGGAAGTTCTACGGTCATATGTATCCAGATTCCTGTGTTGTCTTCTTCATCAGTGAGCTCTCACAACAGCCCCTGTCATATTAATAAGAGAACCGAGCTCAGTAACATCTTCGTTCGGGACCCATTACGTACCATACGCCGTGCCTGGGGGGATAAAATACGCACTTTCAACCCAAACTGCTACTCCTACACCAAACAAAGTAGTTCTGTTATATATACCTAAAAGAAGCCAAGCCTCATGACCAAGCCTCTGTAAATGACGAGCTGGGAATGATAACAGGGTGTCAGAACACAGGACCCTTTTTAATCACATATGTAAAGCTGGGGAACATAACACACTTTGTCACGTTTCCATTATGAGCCTGGGGACCCGGCGAACAAAGACACCAGGACAGTGTTGTCAGACCCTCCAGGTGCATGTGAGTGAACATATAACTGTTTGAGTTGGGTTTCCGCTCTTTCTCCCTCCCCCATGATTGGTTTGACAGGACCTCTCTTCCCCCCCCCGGGGAGTCCGCCGGTGGTTGTGGCGTTAAGTGTAAATCTAAAGGCAGCGGCTCCTCCTCTCACAGGATTTCTTTCGGGCCACATTGAGTAGTCTCTCGACAAAATAGCTGACAGGTAAATGCTGTGCTTACATGGTTCAGTGAATTTGTGAAAAATTGCACCGTGAGTACCACGCACACAAACCCACACTCAAAGAGAGACACACCAAGAAGAGGCAGACAGGCAGCACCCTCCCTGACACACACACACACACACACACACACACACACACACACACACACACAGATGAGGCAAAGCGGAGGTTGAAGGACAAGTCAGCTCGTTGATGTTGTAAAATGATGGCTACGGGTGTAGATTGCGGTTTTGCACACACACTCTCACGCACGCGTCAGAGAAAAACATTTAGCAAAGTTACAGTATGCAAAGACAAAACAATTTATCGTGCCCGCACACATATTTCCAGGTAAGCAATTCAGCATCTGCACTCATTAAAAAAACAACCCGTCAAATCATACACATGCACACACAAACGACACCTGCGTGAAACGTTGACGTCTCAAGATTCATGTGAGACCACCACACGTGTTTTTGCACTTGCACCCTCTTTACACAACACACATTGACGGGAAGGATCACGTTCCTCCCACCAGCTTAGATAAGGTTAAATCCTAAAAGCGTCCGCCCCCCTCCCCAGCCCACCGTGCGTCACGACTTTTTGAGCGATGCCGAAACCGCAAATGACCGTCCGATTTCGCATATGCGCGCACCGACTCGGGTATTTGGGGCTGGCTGCGCGTAAATACAAAATGTGCGCGCCAGGCACCGGATAAAAAAAACTCCGCACAGACCCGCGCTCTGTGTGCACCTTTTATATTGTTGTTGAATCCCCTCCCGCGTGGGACACGCAAACTCACCCAGGTTGCGAGCGCAGGTCCTCCTCGTTCGTCTCCTGGGGTGTGTGCGTCCGCGTATCCAGTAAAATAAATGAAAAATGACGTGCGAGGGTGAGAATGGCAAAAAGGCCCTAACGAACAAGTGGACGGCGGCCAACCAGTACAGACTCCTTCGTCTCTTCACCTCTCTCTCTCTCTCTCTCTCTCTCTCTCTCTCTCTCTCTCTCTCTCTGGGTACCTCACTCCACCACTCTTCGCCGGGGCAGGTCGGGCACTAATATTCCAAACATTGTTCTCTTCATCAGCTCACAGATGGGAATGGAAACAGTCCCGTTTCGCGTCTTGGGGGCACCAGTTCGGAGTTTGGAGGAATGTGTTCTCCTCGCTGACTGGAGATGCTGCGCGTCGTTGTCCCGCTTTCAGAACCAAGTCTACGGTCTGACAAAAATCCCAATTACGATGTTGAGTCAAACCTGGGGTCAGAATGTGGGAAAATACCCCAGGAAGTGTTTGCTTTCAGAGGGAATGCGAAAAGGCAAACAGAAAAGAATCGGATAAAATAGGGTAGTATGCTCTTCTCTCACTTCTCACCAGAAAATGTGAAAAAAACCTTAGCTCAACTGCAGCTAAAACGAATACGCGCAGGTATCTACCAACTGTGCACCCTCCTCCGCCTCTCCCTATGCGTGCGTTTTTATTTCCGGTCTGCTCAGTCTCCCCGCGCCACGGTCATCGCTCAGTGTCGAGTCCGGCGTTTTGTTCCTGCAAGTAGCTCAGGGAAGCGCGCCTCTATCCACTAGCGCTCTTCGCTACTCTCCTCTCCCTCTCTCGCGTCTCCTCAACCAACTCCGCTCACCCTCCCGGTGTGAAGCCGCGCCCCCTTTCCACCCCCACAAACACACACACGCACACACCAACACACATCCATCCCTCGGCAGCGATTGGCTTAAAACAGCAGAAGAGGAGAGGGAGGGAGGTTTGTGCTGCGATGATGCACGCTGAGGAGATGGAGAGAGAGAGGTGGAGGGGAATTAGAGGATGGAGAAAGATGGATCTGAGATGAAACGGGGGATTCGGTTGGAGAGGGAGCTGAGAGAACTGGTATGAAAGGGAAGTTAAAGAGGAGAGAGTAAAGCCAAGGACAAAGGATAGCGAAGGGAGAGGAAAACTGAGTGTTTATGAGTGTGTGTAAGAGGTGGGGGGGACTTTATGTGTTCAAGCCCTCACAGACTGGCTGGTCCCAGTGAGCACAAGACGTAATCAGGCATGAAAACGAGTCAAGGGTGAAATAGGTGAGAAGGATATTACCGCTCTAGGGCAGGGGTTTTCAACTGGTTTTGTCCCAGGGATCATTTTTTTGCGTACCGACGAGGGGGGGATGGGAATTGACAACAACTAATAGGGGACAAGTCATTAAATACTCATCATGCATTATATTACATTGCATATAATGTGTGCTGGTCAACTAGTCTAAAATTTATTTTAAACAAATTTTTGCGTAGAGTGACAAATCGTACCAGCGTACTTTGCAGTCAAAATGCGTATCAGGTTGGCAGGTCTGCTTATTGATAGAATGGTGGACCACTTTACCTTCTGCCTTGTCAGTCCCCTCACCTCAAAATCTACCTCCTCAAAAACGGTAGCGTTAGCTAATCAGAGCTTTAGCTAGCTGGCCAACGTCGTGTTTTCTCCTGCTGTGCTAAATGACTCAATTCATCAAGCTGTAGCTAATGTTAGCTAAGTATGTCAACAAAGCTCCTGGCTAACTTAACTTAGATATACCAGAAAATATCAAAATGATTGAAACCATCACTCACCCTGTTCGCAATTCACTGAATCTCGCGCTCCCTTCTGACACGCGCACCTGTTCGCAGTTCACTGAATCTGAATGGCACATCAGAATGTCCTGGTTATCACCTAGTGACTCCTCAGGGATGTGTACTCTCTGTCTGAACTGGAAATACTGTGTAACTATTGATTTTTCCCTTTTAAATCTAATGTGAGATTGACCAGACGTAGTCTTGTGATTGAGATTTTGTATTATTTATGGTATTTTGAGATGTTTTCATTCTGGCATAGTACATCAAGTTGTCCTGTTTTTTGCAGAGTAGGGCTGTCAACGAATATTCTATATTCAAAAATATATTCGAATAGTTGTTTTCAACTGTTTTCAACAACTATTCAAATGTGAAAATTAATATTCAAATGTAAAAAATAAATAAAACGGCAACTGTCTGCTTTGCGGGTGAGCGCGCACCTGACTACTGACTCTATATTGCATGAATAAAATAGACTAAATAGACTAAAAACAGCTTCATGCACTGAATAAAGCCTGCCATATGTGGGACAAGAATCGCAACCTTAAATTGCTTGCACAAAACTCTTGATCAGCCCTCTGCATTTGTTTATTGTTGTTGTTCATTTAAACCGCTTTCTGCAGAGAGAGAGAGATATCATGGCCGTTAGTTAATTTACTTATTTTTTGTGTAGGTAATATGTTGTTAAATAGGTTTAAACTTAAATAAATTACATATACAAGTAGTTATGTCTCGTATAAATTTGTGCCTAATGCGCAACCAGATATTCGAATATATTTGAATATCTGTCTTTTTTTGAAGCGAATGCAAAGCCGCATTCCTGGTGTCGCTCCTTATGGTTAAACGACTTACTCTCGGACTCTTTGTCCGGCAGCCGCAGGAGTTCTTGGCTGCGTTTCTAGCTGTCCGGCCAGTACCCCAACATGCGGAGTAGCGAGGCCCCGTCCAACGCTGCTCGCAGCTTTGTTAGTTGTAATTTAAACACAAAACGGCACATATTTGATAATTTCCTAGGCAGAACTCCACTGGGTGGTTGAACTGGTGACTGTTCCTGCTGTCCTCGTGCACTTTGCTGTGCTTTCAACTCTCCATCATTTGACGGTTGTGTTTGAAGTGCCAACAATCTCGCGACATTTAGCCAGGATGTTTTCCAAACCACTATCTTTTAGGGCATCAGTGTCCTCTTCAGACCCTGTAATGTTAGATGTTGAGATGGAAGTAGCCTAGCAGCTAGCTAAACCTGTCAGGGTTGGGTAGGAAGGCAGGACTCAAATGCAGAGTTTTAACGAAAACGACTTTAATAGTCAAAAAGGGCAAATGCAAAAGGCCAACCGGCAAAAACACATACAAGTACCGGGGGGGAAAAGGCTGGCAGGAACGAGAGACATCCATGTCAAAAGACAATGACGCCACAAGTGACAAACAACACACACTGCTACACTAGACACTAGGGAGGTACAGGTGATTGGACACAGGTGGAAACAATCCGACAATCACAGGGGATGACAGGACCAGGCAGGAAGTGAAGTTACCCGGGGACACGAGTGGCAGAAAATTACAAAATAAGACAGGAAGTGAACCACACCGTGACAAAACCTGCGTAAAGTGGTCCGTTTGTCACTCACCCCCCTTCTGTTTGACACGCGCCTCTGTTTGTTTTACTTTGCAAAAAGCTCTCTCCATCTTCAACTAAACCCTCATCTCTTCGATCTAACTGACTGTAGCTAGCGGCAGTTTCGTTTCAGTGGTCAACTTTGTTTACTTCTGGCACATGGGAAGTAAACAAAGATGCGTTAACTGCGTTAAAATATTGTATCACCTTAATCTCTGTCACATTAATCACATAGATTAACGCGCTGATTTTGACAACCCTAATTTATTAGTATGTTTTTGACTCTTACCATTGTTTGTTGTCCTTAATGCCTTGCGGGTGAATCTGATCATTAAAAGCATCTTAAATATAGATTTGAAAGTCCAAATGGAATTTCAAAAGTACAACCGTGAGCCCGATTTTATTGGCATTAGCCACGTTAGAGTTAAACCATTGGCATTTTGTAAAACTATAAATGCCAATTTATTTTTTATATTTTGTCCCCTGAATTAGAGTAAGCTTGTGTCGGATCGCTAACTCCTGCTCTTGTCAAACCTCCGGCCATCTCAAAACAAATGAGGGATTAAAGCACAGACGTCTAGAACAGAAGACGGTGATGGGAGAAGATCAAGAGGATGACAGCGGCTCAGTGAATTCCATGCAATGTGTATTTTTTTTGTCTGGGCTTAGAAAGTTAAACTACCACACGGGGGGTCCGCTTAATCGCGCTTCTTTATTATTATTAGCCTTTTTTCAACTTCTGTGATGTGCATGATGTTAAATACTGGACAGAAGATACATTTTTAGATGCATTAAATATGAATTGCAGCCAAAGGATCTTCCTTGTGTCTTTTCTTCACATGTGAACATGCAGGAATCTCTAATGGCCTTCTCGGATGAATAAGGATAAGACAGATGAATGCGCTTCGGTGCCAAATGAAAAAACCCAAATTGAAGAGGAGAAATATATGATCAGATAGGTGCTTGATTTTTTTGTTATTATGTTTTGAGATGTGTAGCAAATCCAAATCAAATGTTTGTTGGATCTCCCTGCCTAGCTGTGTAACAGCAAAAATATTCTATGGACTATGGATTATGACAAGTTTGAACTTGTTAAAACAACAACACCAAGAAGCAGATTACATGGAGCCAATCGCACTGTGGGGGTCGGCCATACAAGAAGAATAACAATGATATCCTGAATCAAACACACTGTCAAAGTGATGATTTGTTCTGAGAACTTAGTTTTTCCCCCCCTTACAGGTTTTGAACATTCAATGGTTTTCCACAGTGACAATCACTGGTGATTTGTAATCACAGAAGGAGGACGCTGAGGCAACTTGAAGCGATTAATCAAAATCAAATTAGCAATGCTTAAACATAACATTGTCCTACTAAGTAGTTTTCGTGCCTCAGGTTGTTTTTACATTACAGGTAATTTAGCAGACGCTTTTATCCAAAGCGACTTACACTTTAAACCCATGGCTTTTCACATTTTGCCCAGGGAGCAATTAGGGGATAGGTGTCTTGCTCAGGGACACTTCGACTTGAGACATGGGGCAGCCGGAACTCGAACCACCAACCTTGCGCCACGATGACCCTTTTTCTTTCAATCCCCAACGTTAAGTTCCACTGTCATAACGTGGAAGCGTTACAATGGTAGTTATAAGTACTGATGACTCCCATTCAACCGGCTGATAACATTCAAAATGGGTGCACCAATGTTAGACTGCGAGGATAATTAACCAGAGGATTTCCTGTGTGTGTTCCCAACTCATCTGAAGAAACATAAATTTATACACATTAGATCAATGATGGACAGTTTCAACAGTCATCATTTCAAGTTGGTATTTATTGTTGATGTCTGAGCTTGAACTTTTGAATGATGAACCAGAACTGAAACAAACTAATTAGATAGTGGTGAAACATTTAGTTAAGTTAATTAATTGGAATTCCAATTGACAAATTAATTTAGCTAAAAAAGAAAATCCTAGATTTATCATTTTTGTATCAAAATTGCTAATTAGATTTGCATCTCTGTTTTTGTTCCATTGTAAATGTCATATAATTGGGTTTTGACAATCAGAGGGCTGTTTGTTTGGAGATTTGTTTTACATTATTTAACATTCATTTTTTTTATTGCAAGAATGACTTGCAAGGTGTAATACGCCAACACGACACAAGACAAACAACCATATATACATGAGCTATTTCCCAATGAAGAAATACAACAAAGAAAATACATCAAAAGAAATAAACAGAATAAAACAGCAATAGAATCAATACCATAGCCTGAATTTGCACCCAGACATAAAGTCAGCTCTTACGAAATCTAAAGTGTCGAGTCTGTGAATCATTGAGCCGCAGGCAAATCATCTTTTTACCGCAAGCTTCTGATCTCTGAAGACCTGTGAAGTCGCCTTCGCAGCC